GAGACCGTGGAGGAGATGGGGGTGGCGAGGAGGAACGCAGCCGTCTGCGGCCAAGCACAGAAAGGGATGAAAGGGGGGTGGATTGGGCAGGATGTCGGAACATAGGACGCGAGTGTCGGGCTGGGGTAGAGGAAGCTATACCAGACTCTTTAATTTAAATTTGGTAAATAATTTTGATGTGACCATGCGGCAAAAGTTGTTTAGTTTATATTTTCCTGCATAACATAGATTTATTTTTCAGATTTTTTGGACCTTTTTTTTACTGCCCGGACCTTCCCTGGTCCGTCCACGGCCGGGCCGCCCGAGAAAACAGGGTGACCCGGGCGGCCCAGCTGGTAACCTTTTCTTTTTCTTTTTCTTTTTCTTTTTTGTGAGATTCTGTGTTGAATACTCAAACATAGGAGAAACCATTAAGTCACATGATGGAAATGGCAGGGCTCTCACCTTTGAGGCGAAGTAAGGCAGCTCTGTGATACTTGACTGAACGTATGTGCACTGAACCACATCCTCCATTCCATTCAAGCCCTTCAAGCACGCGTCTGCGAAAATTGCTCCAGCATACCTAAACAATGGCGCAACAAATGAAAAGAACACCAGCAGAATGTCAAATTCCTATCCAAACATAATGTCGTGTGTGTCTTTCTTAGGCGTACATCCCTGAAAACAAACTCTAATAGCAGATAGGCACATTGCCAAGTGGTCACTCTAATGAGGAAGAGCTTCGAATATGGGCAGCATAGTGCGGCCAGCGGCCAGTGTGGCTGCACCCATATACTGTGGATTAATGATGCATGCTTTGTGGAATACGGGGACTGCAATAGCGTAGATAACCGGTACAACAAACAAAGAACGCAGAATCGAAAACGAAAGAGAAAGTGTGATTCGTAAACGGAAGAAAAGCGTGAGCAGATAGAGCAGTTAGGAAAAAGAGAGTGAAAAATATCATCGTGAAAGGGCAGCAACTACAGAAAGGGAGTGCGGTTGTCCCTCATGTGTCCACAATAACCATCCTTCGGGGTGCAATCGTTGCGCACACGGTGGGACGCCATCCCCAGATGCAAGCCTGTGGTAGCCCCCATCGATAGATGGGCTATCAGAGGGGTCACCTTGGGGCAGCATGTTGCTCATAATCTGCCCTTTCCAGAGGGGCGAAAGGAGTTTCTGCCAAAGAGAGAATTGGCCTTCTCAACTTGGTTACCCCAGGCCCTAGCAAGGGCCAAGGGTTCCTGGCTGAATATCCAAAGACAGGACGATCCATTTGGTCATCATTAGGAAAACCAAAAAAAAAAAAAAAAAA